TTTGCCGATGCAAACGTAATATCTGGCCGTATGCGAAATAAGCTGATACACCGTGGCCGCTATTACATTTCATTGCACGACATTAGACGAGATTACGTTACTTTTCGTAATGTTACGCCGAGCCTTGTGACTTAATGGCTTATTTCATCATCGTTCCACCGAGTATATGATACGTCCCTTTCCGTTGTGTGCGTCTTTTTAAGAATGCCTTTGAGAGCTTGCACTGTTTGCTATCATTTGCATAAACGTTGCATAACCGCGACATGGAATCATATCTATGGTTCAAGTCGATGAAACGTATCGATTTTAAGTGCAATATTTCTTAATCTTAACTTAAAATCTTATTGTTCTTTTCATACGTGTATAATTAAAAATTTTTATTTTAAAGAAAATCTACCCAAAGTGTGTTCATATGAAACAATTAGTCTATTTTTAAGATATGTCACAATGAATTTCATTGAATTGGAGGCTGTACTGAGTAAGTACTGAGTTCATGGTATGGTAAACCGTGAAAACAAGAATTGATAAGCCTGCAACAGCGAATCGACGTCTTACTCAGCATTTCGCAGAGGAAGTCTATATAACGGCTGAAATTCGCTTCGAATCCACTCGGTTCCCGATTTCCACGCAGACGAGAGTGGTGCACGTGCACGGGCATCATTAATCTTGCCTGACCAATGATCAACGACCTCTCTCATTGACTACGGCGTACGAGCATGCAAGGCGTACGTGTGCGGTCCCTCGAACGACTATCGAAGAGTGTACGCGGCTCTTCTTAGTCTTCTTCGTCTACGAAAGTTTATAAAGTATTTCTAACAAATGTTTATACGCACTAAGAACCATAATGAGTATTCTAATTGAGCTAATGAAAATGTATAGATACAATAACGTTTTTGGATATATTTATCTCCTTCTAAGCTATTCCATTGTGCATAATTTTCAGATAATGTCATTTTTCAACAATAGATACATTCTAATTATACATTGAGCGATATATTATAAAATATATATATTTTTTATCAAATAGTATATTTTAAAATAATATTTTTTGCTCATTTTTTCTTTTTTTTTGTAAATACCAACCTTTAATTTTAAATTAAGCTCATGATTGTCCACATCGTTATTGGCAATAAATTACGCTTGGTAACAAAGATCGAGTTTTAAATGCGCCGCGTCGAACGTGACATTACACATGGAGCTATTACACGGCGAGAATTCTAATTGCAACAAATTTATCTCTCTCAATAAAACGCAATAGGCCATTGTCCGCCGAGGCACCTAATTAGATCGGAAATGTAATAGCACGTGGAATAAACTCCTGATATCCGCCCACGCACACGTGAATGCATGCGTGTCTTGGTTAAGTAATGTACGGTCGTATATACTGGATGTTCCAGAGAATCCGTATAACAATTATAAGACGATATTCTCTATCGAAACTTGTATATTCATTTTATTATAATTTTCCAATTTGCAACATCAAATATTTCAATGATCCGAAATATATATTTATTGACAAATCGAAATTTATTTATATTAGAATATTAAATCAATATATTAAAAGTCTGTTTAAAGAGAGTTAAGAAATGCTATTATTTACATTCATAGATTTTCGAGATTAAATCATAACTCGCTTTTAATGAGAGAAATATTGTTCTTTTTAGAAAATCATTGCTTTGCCTTCATTATTAAAAGCTCTCGCAGACACCCGGTATAACTGCCCTGTAAAACGGTGTCACCGCCGCGCGCCATTGGGGTCGTAGGGATGCTAGCTGTTTCGCGAGTAGGCGGGGATTATTAATGACCACGAGCCGCCTTATCTTTTCCACTTCCTGTTCGAGATACATAATACGTGGGCCGCCTCGCGCGCAGTAGTTGCATCGCATCGCAACATTGTGCGTACGACTTCTCGGAGGCCCGCGCTCTCGTCTCATTGTATGTGCCTCTCGCGTACCACCGCGATGCACCCGTGTATTTATCATCGCCCGAAATCGCACCCGCGTCGCGGCAAGGAATGACTTGAGAGAACGATTAATCGTCGTTATCTTCGATCGCGGAAAATTTTATTGCCATTGCCGTAGCACATAATATCGAACGGAATGTCTCGGCGACGTTGTACAATTATACTTCAAATTTAGCAAAGTCTGAATTTTGTAATAAATTATATTGAACCGAAATATCTTACGCAAATTGAAAAGTATTCTAGCAAAATGTAACATCACTTTGAAAAAAATACTAAATTTTAATAAATATTTGTTCGAATTGTTCTAAGTAAATCTTTACTAACTATAAACATTATGATACTTATTTGAAAAATCATTACTTTGATGTAACTGTCACTTTTTTATTAAGTAAATATTTATTTACTGTAAGTAAATGTTTACTTATTAAGCGTCGAGTGACTTGCCGCTCGGTGTAATTAATTCGCGATCTAGATCTGCGATATAGATCCTATTTGCGTCCAAATATGCGATTTTTCGCATTTACGGAGCCAAAAATGGCTCCACCTTGTGATTAAAAGACCTTTGATCGCCAGCGCCATTCGGATTTAAACTGTAAATCCCATATATCAGTGGATATATGTATGTATCCCCAGGTTGGGGGTTGGACATTAGGTTAACAATCTAACGGAAAAAATTGTTACGAAAACCTCATGAAAGGTAAACACTGTCCCGATTTTGGGATGTTGCCATCGAATGAATGAAATGTTTACTTATTACTATTCCAAGAAATATTATGTATTAAGATTTAGTTTTTTTTTTCAATACAAATTCAAGAATACCGCTTTATAATTTATTGTTACACGAAGCTTTGAATTTTACAATAATGTATCCAATTATTGAAATATGTAATTCAAATTGACATGTACATACGTAGCCAGAATTATTGTTTAGCGAGAGGAGGCCAAATTAAAGTTGAGATTTTTAAAGCTAAGGAGGAGAGGATAGTTGAGTGGTATGAACTGTTGGACTTGTTTTTTGTTTTATATTATTATTTTTAATTAATTACTAGCAGGTAAATCACAAAATCGTACATATTTAATTTACTTTATTTTTCTCTTAAACTTGTAAACTGATTCTTCGAACTGGAAAAATTTTAATTTATAATATTAGCCGTCTTGAATTCTCAAAAAATCTTTCTATAACTTTCACCTCCAATTCTTCCTTTTTTTCAAAATTAATTTCCTATGAATACTTATTATAGTTCATTTAAACGGTTTTAATTATTTTTGCTCTTATTTAAGATTTGGGAGGAACTTCGCGGCGCCGAGCCAGCCCCTCCCCCTAGCTAGCTCCATGCAAATGGAAAGCTGTTCTTATTATTATTTACAAAGCTTATTATTTACAAAGAAATGCATTGGAACATATGTAAAGTATCATAAATATTTTTTATATGCTACTTTAAATAATTTTGTTTTTATTTTATTTTAAAAAGAAATGAGGAGAGTATAGAAAAATACTGTTCTATATACCGAGCACCTTTTCTTCTTTCTGAAAAAATGAACCTATGAGAGAGGTTAAGGGAGTCTGAGAAAGAATATAAAAGCAACCCCCTGGAGGAATGGACGCTGCGGCTTCTCTTATTGGCGAAATTAAAGAGCACGTAGAAATGCAATTGGCGACTCTTTATGCAACTTCCTAAGGACATCACGGGTCCTTGCTTTTACCAAGAGCAATTCATGGATTTGTAGGTCCGATGAGAAGGAGGTTGGAACCCTCGCATGCGAGTTCTCGAGGGGTAGACTCAGATTTTCGATATTATTTGCTTTGTACTGCGCAATAGGGAGAAGAGAAAGATATATAGAAAGAGAAGAGACGAGAAACTGTGCAAATCCTCGGTAACAGGAGGCGAACCCGAGGTCCTCCCCCCTCCCCCCATCCCGTTATTCCTCCGGAAAATCGCTTCGCCTATAATAAGCCCAAACGATTGCTTCGCGAAATTGCTTTTCTTCAAACAGAGGCGTTTGATGTCGCATCTCCTTTTTGACGGATCGTAATCGCGCGCGTGTTAGTGCGCTCCGAGCTGTCGAGCTCCGCTGCTGGAAAGACGGAAAGATCTCTTTGGATCTTTAGCCGACGTTTCCTATTTCGTATTCATGGACAAATGGGCGACGCAAAATGTTTGCTCCGCGTGAACAAAGAATACGGTAGTCTCGTTATCTTTCGGTATTAAATACCATGATATATACATATATTAATATTAACGTGAACATAAGCTCGTAAGACGTAATCTGCGATTCGACAAACGTGATTCAGAGAAAGAAGTATTAATAAATACGAATAATTTTTTTATCCTTAGCAACAACAAATTTACTGAAATACCTAAAAATTGAGGTAGATACAGATCTGAAAATAATATTGTTGGACTATCAAAATAATTATGTAGGAAACTCAAGTACGATGAGCAATACTGCAAAAAGTATTGACATTGTAGCGACCAGTCTGTGCATAATTATTTTAATAGTCTGACAAAATTAGTTTTAAATCTGTATTTAACTAAATTTCTAGATAATTTTCTGCAAAACCGTCTTTTCATGTATGTTCTTAAGAATTAAACAATATTATCGATATCGAACAAATGAAAGAAGTATAAATATAATGTATACGTATCTCAACGAGTTAATTTTAGATATCAGTGAACACGTTGTACATTAAAATGTATTAAATTTTAATAAACATTTGAATAGTATTAATAACTTTACATTTATTAAATGTAAATACACATATATATTTATTTAGTATAAGAATCATTAATTCGATTTAATTATCATTTTTATTAAATAATGTTTATTTACTGTAAATAAACGTGACAGTAGTAGTATAGAAAAAATATGTATAATATTAAAATTTAGTAAAATTTTTCCTAATATATATAAATGCTTTTTAAATTTTTTCCTTAAAAGCTTTGATAAATTCATTACAATAAAAAAAATTATTTGAACTTTATATAAAGGATATCATAGACATCAAGCTTTCGCACTTACATTGATATTTGTGGAATATGATCTGATGTCACTTTTTCTTTGCAGCTCCTATACATCCAGAACATCCTATGGGACAGCCGTCGGGCGACAGATTTTCCACGGGAATATCAGGATCAGGTTTCATGGACGGGTGAGAACTTATGATTTACAGACTTAATTTTTACCTAAAACGCAATACATATCTTGTTTGTTTTTATAATTAATAAAATATCAAACGCTTTTTCGAATCATAATAAGCTATTCTTGAAATAATTTATATTTTTACAAATTAAAAGTATGACTAAATTAGGCTAGTGAGAGTCAAGCAACGTTGAACGGCGCAAAGATAGGTGAAAACCATACTCAGATGTTAGCTTAAAGTC